GTGGGTGGGTGAGTGGGTGGGTGAGCGAGTGAGTTGGTGAGTGAGTGAGTGAGTGAGTGAGTTAGTTAGGAGTGAGGAGTGAGTGAGTGAGAGTGAGTGAGTGAGTGAGTGAGTGAGTGGGCGAGTGAGTGAGTGAGTGGGTGGGTGAGTGGGTGGGTGGGTGAGCGAGTGAGTTGGTGAGTGAGTGAGTGAGTGAGTTAGTTAGGAGTGAGGAGTGAGTGAGTGAGAGTGAGTGAGTGAGTGGGCGAGTGAGTTAGGAGTGAGGAGTGAGTGAGTGAGTTAGTGAGTTAGTGAGTGGGCGAGCGAGCGAGTGAGTGGGTGAGTGAGTGAGTGAGATAGGAGTGAGTGAGTGAAGAGCGAGTGAGTGAGTGAGTGAGTGAGTGAGCGAGTGAGTGAGTGAGCGAGTGAGCGAGCGAGCGAGTGAGCGAGTGAGTGAGTGAGTGAGTGAGTGATGGTGCTTGTTGTGCACTTTTCCTATACAGAGGTCAGGCCAACACTGTAATGTACAGTTTAGACGAAAAGTAACCTTTTCTTTTAGATTTCCTTCGGAAGTTGGCTAATATGTAAGTTAGAAACTTTTCTTTTCAAAGCGTCCTTCAAGACTTGCTAGCAATCACTCCTGGCCCAATGATATCGAGTATAATGAATGAATCTTCATTTGTATGTTCATGGCCATGGTGCTAAATGCATACATCAGAATGTGATGTTACATGTACATTGTACATCATACTGAGTAACATGATACATAGCATACAAGGATAACAGAATAACAAAAAAGTCTTAACAACTACTAGAGAATAAACTAATCTAGGTCTTGAAGATTTCTTCTCTCCTTTTAAAGCAATTGGAGATAAATTCACATAGTTTTTCTATTGTATGGTCATTACTGGTGGACATGAGATGATAGTGTGTCACGTTCAATATCATACAATTTACAATCAAGTACAAAATGCATTTCATCTTCTACGCTACTAGAGTTACAAACCTCAAATATTATAAGGCATTTAATTACTTAAGATTAGGAACACGTATGAGTTAGTCTTCACCTGATCCAGACCGTCAATTATACTCAATACCTCATATTGACACGATTCGACCCAGGCACTTCGGTCAAGCTGGGATCAAGACAATTTTATTCCCTCACGTCCAGATTGAAGGG